AAATTCCCAAAACTGTAATTATTCCCCAATTATCATTACGGAATTATTGGGAGTTAGTCAACACGGCTGTCGTTTGGCAATGGATTAGGGCGATTTACTGCAATCTGGATGGAAATCTCGCCATATGTATAGCGATCAGGCCAAAATCCACACGCCCCAAGCGGGGAGGACCGTGGAAGTTCCTCTTAGAGAAAAAAACAGTTGCTAATTGTCTAGGTTCCATATGGACAAGTTGCGAAACCCGTGGACTCAATAAATCACAATTCCTTTGCCATTTCGTCTATGGAGAGGTTCATTTGGGGAGCAGCTAAATCCCCCCGACTGCAACCGATATGGTGGGAACTGGGGCAGGTGCGCGGGTCATCCATCCCCCCAAACTGACACGGGGAGATTAGGCTGCTTCCCCTTTCATCGGGCCCCAAATGGCGGCTCACATGTGTCCGAAAATCCTCCAATACAGATTTTCCTATCAGGGCCTGTCGTCGTTGCCTTGAAGCGGGATTTTCCACGGAAAATGTCCCATCAAAGACAAATCCCATAATGGGTTTTAAATCGGCCCACATCGTAGCAGCCGCCGTCGTCGCTTGTTCCCGTAATGACTGCTCTTTTAATTTACTGTTTTCAGCCGTTTTATCCATTAATTAATTAACGTTAATTAAAGGGGGCTCTGATACGTCAAATCTCTAATTTCCTTTAATTATTTACATTACGGCTGATTAATATTTACCAACTGCCACTCTATACGGGCATTATCTTCTCTGCGCCCAGCCCTTAATGGCCAACTTGATCAGTCTTTGATGATGAGGTGCAAAGTCGAAATTTAACGTCGTTCAATCAAAGTCGGGGAAATTGAAATCGAATGAGCGCCGGCCAGATTGCTCGATTATTGCGTTTCAGCGTCCTCTTCAATGGATGTGTGACTGTTTTCCATTTAAGTCGGCTAAAGTGTGGTCAATTAGAGCCAATCCCCTCGACGGATTCGCACGATCTTCTGACCTAAGGCTGATGATGTCATGCGCTGTCTGTGACTCACTTCACGGAAAAAGTTGCCTATCGGAGGCACCCTCAGATCTCACACAAGCATTTGGTTGGATTTTTCCATGGCAGCAACAATGTGAACATTTGCCGATCAAATCAAATTTGATCTCAATCGCCTGTTTCTACTTTTTCGGTGAATTTTCATTGAGTTCCATTTTCCAGTTGAGTCCTGCTGTTAACTTCATATCGCTTGACCAGCTCCTTCATGGTCAGAATCTTCAGTGTTAATAAATTAGAAACTTTCTTAATATGGGCCCGATTTGGATCATTGAAAATTCCTGCAAAAGCGACTGATTTCTAAAACCGTATTTTGCAAGCAGGAGTTTGAAGGTCGATTAGACGATTTTTCAAGCCAAATGTGGTGGTCAACAAAAATGATTTCTTTGTGGATTTAACGTCGCATTTTTTGGAAAAAACTGGTTTTTGTTTGTAGAAATTTTCGTCTTAACTCTGTTAATATCGGGCCGATTTGTAAATGTTGAATTTTGTTAAAAAACGTACGATTTTCTGTTAAAACTGCATCTCGCAAAATTGCAGTCGGTTGAAAAACTTGAAAAGACGATTTTCCGAACAAAATACTTTGAATTTTTACTTCGATTAACTCATTTTTTAACAGGATTTTTTAACCCCTAATGCATTTTTAGGAGCAACTCAATACTTGAAAAAAAATTTCAATTAAACTTTTTTGGAAAAATGTTGGAAATTTTCGAATTTTTTAAAATCGCAATTGTGCAAATTTTTCACTGAAGAGTCCAATTTGGACCAAAATTCCACTTTTCGTTCACGTGGTTTTCGAATTTAGTTTCGGACAAACCGGCATTTGGAGTTTGAGGGACTTAAACTGCCACCCACATTGTTTGCACTCTTATTTGCCCACAACTCCGCTACTGTTAAAAATATGTTTGTTGTTGTAAAAAAACGAAAAACTGGTCTGGGTTGCCACTGGAATTCCATAGACCTGAGCTGTCTTGACAAAAATCCACATTGGTAACGGTTTGGAAGATAATGAACCCTGAACTGTTCGACTGTTCCATTTGCGCGTACTTCCACTCTTTTGCCCGTAACTTCTTTAARTGTCAAGATATTTWAAAAGTTCCAAAACCCCCAAAAAGCCCAAAGWAGTAGCTGTAAAAACTATTCCAGCCTCAAATTTCTTAGCGGCAACAGCGAGGGAGTAAAACGAGCTCSAACTCAAAGAGTGTGCAAACTTTGGAAAAAAAATATTTGAGACATTAAAATTAGTTGAAAAAGTTKAMATTTTKTGAAGACTCTWATGCCGAATTGACGATTTTGAAACTGAATAGTTATGAAAGTTTTAAACCAAAAAAGTCGATTTTGTCATTAAACAAATTTTGCATTATAGTCYAGAGCAGAACTTTTAGAATTTTTTTTTGYTGTCGAAATTTTTGGTGGAACTCTGTTAATACGARCCSGATYYATATCATGGAAAATTCGTTCTAAAGCKAGTGATTTTGTCGAAAAGTCGTATTTTACAAAATKGAAATCRGTGGAGAARCTTGAAAGTYATAASAGTTTGAAGSTCGAAACGACGATTTTTGAAAACWTCTCMATGTTTTCTTTGTGGATTTAAGRTCRCATTTTTTCTGGRAAAACASMTTTTTGTATGTAGAMATTTTCTGTATAACTCTGTAAATACCKAGTCGGTTTGAAAATTTTGAAATTTGTTGTAAAACGTGCGATTTTCTATAAAAACTGCATCCCGGAAAATTGCAAGCGGTTGAAAAACTTGGAAGTTATAATGATTTGAAGGTCGAAAAGATGATTTTCTCCTCAAAATACTTTGAATTTTTACCTCATTTAGCCCATTTTCAAAATAGAACGGGATATTGTTTGCAAAGTGTATTCTCGACACATTCACTGTCTATAGGAAAGTTTGTGTTTTCAATAGTTTAGACCAAAATGGACTCTAAATAGTGGTAAGCGCAAAACTCTCAAACTTACATATACTTCCTTCCACTCTTTACCCTGTAACTCAGTCAGTTATCAACATTTTTCTGAAATTCGAAAAATTTTAAAAAGCCCATTGGCCTGCATACCTGCAGCGCTGGATGTTCTTGGAAATACCCTCTTTTCTTACCATTTTGGCTGCGCTTCAAGGATTTTGTAACTTTAAAATGTATTTTTAGGAACAACTGAAAGGTTTTTGTTGCAAGTTTGCAATAAAAAGATTTTTTTTTGAGAATATTTTGATATTTTTGAATTTTTTGAAAATCGCACATGTGCAAATTATTGCCTTAAGAGTCGAATTTAGACTAAAATTTCGTTTTCATTAGCATGCTTTTCGAATATAGTTTCGGAGAAAATCGCATTTGAAGTTAGGGAGTTTTCAACTGCAACCCACATTGTTTGCACACTTATTTGCCCATAACTCCGCCACTGTTGAAAATATGCCAAAACGAAAAACTGGTCTGGGTTGCCACTGCCATTCGCTAGAGCGGGGCTGTCTTGACAAAAATCCACATTGGCAAGGGTTTGGGAAATAATGAACCCTGAATGTTGGCAACTCTTCAACTGTTCCATTTGCGCGTATCTCCACTCTTTTGCCCGTAACTTCTTTAAATGTCAAGATATTTGAAAAGTTCCAAAACCCCCAAAAAGCCCAAAGAAGTAGCTGTAGAAACTATTCCAGCCTCAAATTGAATAGCGGCAACAGCGAGGGAGTAAAACGAGCTCGAACTCAGAGAGTGTGCAACCCTTTGGGAAAAATATTCGCGACATTAAAATTAGTTGAAAAAGTTGACATTTTTTGAAGACTCTAATGCCGAATTGACGATTTTAGAAGAACATAATGTGGACATAGAGGTCAAAAACAGTAAATCCTTAATTTTCATGTTTGTATATACATCGATCGCTCCTACTTTGCAACGACTGTTATCCCTTTCATTGACAGAAATGACTGGCTTCGTCTAACGTTTAATGTTTCTGGAGGCACCCATGGAGGTTTTTGGTGAAAGGGGCCCCCAAGGGCCCGCCAATTACCAACACAGACGGGCTTAATAGTTAGGCGGGTAGTTAGCAAAGCAATTCCCTCCCAATATAAATATTTTTCCAGCACAAAGACAAAACTTAGATGGAATATCTGGGGCTCCGCCCGCCACTTTTGCAACCCCTTCGCAATGCAAATGGGCTGCGCCGGTGGCGGTTCGCGACGTCGTCTCCGCCAGCCTTTCCAGCCATATGGCTGACTTCAAAGGATTTTATGTAGATTTCCGGGGCTAAGAAAATAAAAAGTTTAAAACAGTGCCTAATTCGAATTCTGCATGTAAAAGAAACCCAAATAGCACGGCTACCGCACTTTGGGGGGCCGTTTGCTGCTGTTTCCTACAGGCTTGAAATGCTGCTGACTAAACATGCGAATTAGCTGCGGTTCGGTGTCCTGGCCTGGATGGGAACCGCCACGTTTAGGCCCAGCTGTGGTTACAGGATCAGCTTTTTTGAGCCACTCGGTATAGTGGTTTTCGTGAGTTTTTGTCTGAGTTTAGTAGAGGGTTTTGTCCACTCATTGACCAAAATTCCTGCTTCTGGCTGCCGGGGTTTGGATGGGCTGAATTTTTCAAGTTGAGCCTGCGGATTTTGTCTTTTGGTGGTTGGTCCCACTGAGCCCAATTGATTCTGTCGAAATGCTGATGCAACGGGGAACAAACCAACCCGCTTCTCAAAAATATTCGAGCAATTTTTTACAATCGTTTGAAAAAACTCTTAAAATTTCAGTCGATTTTATTTTTTTTCTTCCAAGCGTCCGATCAAAAAAATTTTTTTTGAATTAAACCAACCCACTTTGGCATGAATTTTGCCCAAATTGCCCTGCAAAGTAGAAAATATTCAACCAATTTTGTCGCGGTCGCAATATTTTGAAGAAACCGGAATTTCGGCCGATTTTCGCGTTTTATTTTTTTTCGCCCAAACGAATCCTCCAATCAAAAAACGTTGTTCTTGATGAAATGGCCGAAACTTCAAAAGCTAACCGACGGTAGGGCTTTGGAAACTGTAACAAAATGGTTTTTTGAGAAAATGTCAAAAACTATGTTTTCCAAAAAAACTTCAATCCCTTCAAAACTAGAGACGATGGACCAATTCTGCGCAATGCGCTGAATAGACCCGGTCAAGTTGCGTAAAAAAGCTGGTATACACTTTTTTCTGAAAGTCACTAGCAAAATAACTACAGACGATTTTTTGATTTCCCACAAAAATGAAGGTGCAGTTTCCATTAGAGCTTACACAAGATCGCCGCTTTGTCCCCCTAGCTTTTGCGGGAAACTTTTTCCGAAATAAACCCACCTATTTCGGAGTGTATTTTGCCCACATGGAACCCGCTCAGAGTAAAAATTTCGAATTTTTTTCGCCCGCAAAATTCGTTGGATCGGCGAACCCTTAGGACTCGGGTCGATTTTCACATAAAAACTTTTCTCTCCAAAATGAAGCTTTGAATCGAAAAAAATTGCTCTTTATAAAAGTTTTGGCTTGTCAAAACCTATCGATAGTGATTTTTTCAAACCATCTAGTCAACGGTTTTTGGGAAAATTCCAAGAAAACTCCTGTGCAAGGGTTTCCTTCTTTCCCCCCTCTTTCATCCGGGAAATTTTCGCCGAAACAAACCAACTCACTACGCACTCTGTGTTGTCCAAATGGAAAATCCTGCGGGGAAAATTTTCAAGAACCTTTTTTTTTTGATTGCCATTCATTATGTGAAGGAAAAACTCTTAGGATTTTGGTCAACTTTCGCGTTTAATTTTTTTTAACGAAAACGAAACGTCTGTTTTTGATAAAATATCCGGAATGTCAAAAGGTGACCGGAAGTAATGTTTGGAACGCTTCAACACAAGTGGTTTTTGAGAAAATGCTTTAAAAGTGATTTCCAAAAAAGCCTTAATATCTTCCAAACTCAACCAGACAGGGTCTTTCTGAGCACGCCACTGGACAGAGGCCTTCAAAGTGCATAAAAAAGTTGAGAGGCACTTTTTTCTTAAAGAATTTTTGATTTTGACTCCAAATTTTCTTAGAACGGGGCAGAAATGCAAACATTTTTGTTTATGTCACTAGCAAAAAAGCTACAGACGATTTTTTGATTTCTCACAAAAATAAAGGTGCAGTTTCCATTAGAGCTTACACAAGATCGCCGCTTTGTCCCCCTAGCTTTTGCGGGAAACTTTTTCCGAAATAAACCCACCTATTTCGGAGTGTATTTTGCCCACATGGAACCCGCTCAAAGTAAAAATTTCTGATTTTTTTTGCCCGCAAAATTCGTTGGATCGGCGAACCCTTAGGACTCGGGTCGATTTTCACATAAAAACTTTTCTCTCCAAAATGAAGCCTTGCATCGAAAAAAATTGCTCTTTTTTAAAGTTTTGGCTTGTCAAAACCTATCGAATAGTGATTTTTTAAAACCATCTAGTCAACGGTTTTTGGGAAAATTCCAAGAAAACTCCTGTGCAAGGGTGTCTTTCTTTCCCCCCTGTTTCATCCGGGTAATTTGCGCCGAAACAAACCAACTCACTACGCACTCTGTGTTGTCCAAATGGAAAATCCTGCGGGGAAAATTTTCAAGAACCTTTTTTTTTGGTTGCCATTCATTGTGTGAAGGAAAAATTATTAGGATTTTGGTCAACTTTCGCGTTTAATTTTTGTTAACGAAAACGAAACGTCTGTTTTTGATGAAATATCCGGAATGTCAAAAGGTGACCGGAAGTAATGTTTGGAAAGCTTCAACACAAGTGGTTTTTCAGAAAATGCGTTAAAAGTGGTTTCCAAAAAAGCTTTAATATCTTCCAAACTAAACCAGACAGGGAATTTCTGAGCACGCCACTGGATAGAGGCCTTCAAAGTGCATAAAAAAGTTAAGAGACATTTTTTTCGGGATCAATTGATTTAAGTCTGGGTGAAAGACTGGAAAAGTTGTTCGTGTGAAAATGGGGCTATTTGGTGAAGATTGGGGGCTGTTAAGGAAGTTTGAACATTCAACCCCCACAAGAGCCTCTAGAAGAGTTCTCCTCGTGCTCTCGAAGCTCCTCCAAAGAATGTTTCTCTGAAAAAAGAACCCACTAGTTGCTTTGCTTTGTCCAGTTTTTTCTCAAAAACGAGGCTCGGGATCAAAAAAATTCGCTCTCCATATAAAGTCCGTATTTTCAAGAGGAAGTCGACGGTGACTTTTCCAAAACTGCCGCACAAGTATTGTTCGAAAAAATGGAAAGTTGGAAAAAGTCGTCCTAAACTGGAACTAACCACATCAGGATGGAAACCACCTCCAACCCTTCAAGTCTAACGGCAAAGCCAGTACAAAGGTAAAATAACGCAACCTCTCTCTAGCTCATCTACAGGGTGATTCAAGATTAGAAACAACCTCACTGCCTGCGGGGGAAAGCTTATGTGGGGCGGCTGATTGTCGGCAACAGAGCGCCCCATATTATTCAAATGGGGCATTTTCAATTTTCGGGGACTGCGGCAGCCAATCTTCCCGAAAGATTTCGAGCGAATTAAAGAGCGCAGGCAATCCGGGGGCCGCGGGAACCGATCCGGAGCGTCTCCGGGGCCTCGTTGGTGCGGAATTGAGGCTCTTTTGGCATGCAAATCGACGCCGCCAACTGAAAAACGGCGATTTCCGAAGCGAAAATTACAATGTTATGGAATGGCGGTGGCCTGATGGGAAACTCTGCAACCATCCAAAGCGACTCCCTCATCCAGAACTGATCCGGGCGATTGAATCGAGACGCAACAGTCGCATAATTGGGCTCTTGTTTGGTTGCGACACGCGGTCAATTACGCGTAATTTCCTCAGTGGAAGCTCTTTATGGAGCGGTTAATGGAAAGCCTTCAGGTGCAAAGAGAAATGTCCGTTTGTCCAGGCAATGACGGTGTTAATTTAAAAGTATCTCGTTCGACGTGGGGTGCATTTCATGGGTTCGGCCCCCAGAGAGTCGCATGGAGAATTATGCGCTCTCCTCCTGATTTAATCTCTCCTAAGTGGATTGGATGATGACCAAGCGCGGCCTCGGCCGGAGAATCCGAATCTGACTCTGTCACTGCTCTTTGCACTGTTTTGGTGTGTGAAATCTATTAGTGGAATTAGTGGCCAGTCAAGTCACAGTGTTAATTGCTCATTAAGGCTTCGGACAGTGGCGGGGACACAGGGGGCAGAGCCGTGTGAACGGCCACCATCTGCAAGCAGAGCTTGGAAGCACCACTTCCGCTCACCAACTTTGTCCACTAATTAATTGAAACAATTTCGCTCGATTATTGTCACTAAATTGCCCAAATGGGTGAATGGATGGCATGTTGCGGCCTCGCGACATATAAAGTGATTTCAACAAGTTTCGACTTTTCTGGTCTGCTACTCGAACTGTGGATGTTGCTGAAATTTTGCCCATTTGGCCTCTTCAGTGTTCTGTATGAGTCTGGAAATTTAGATCTCGATACCTTGTCCAGGTGCGCACTGAGATTTTTTTAAATAGGAGCGTGCACTTTTGCAGCATTGGACTACTTGAAGCTTTAACAGACCTCAACAGCCACTGAAGTCTTAGATGTAGATGCAACTTTGTTTTTTTTTGGCTCCTTGAGTGTTCTGTATGAGCCTGCGAAATTATAAGTCTATACCGGTTCCAGGTTTGGACTGATACTTTTTTTAAATGATGCGAGCAGATTTGCTTCATTGGACTTCATCAAGCTTTAACAGACTTTGACAGTCACTGGAGCTTTTGATGTTGATGAAGTTTTGGCCGTTTGGCCTCTGAAGCCTTCTATATGAGTCTGGAAATTTAAAAGTTT